GAGGTGTTCTCAAAAACTAGTATGGTTCAACTTCGATCAAAATCAATTCTCCTCACTGGTTATTTAGAATATCTTTTGGACAAGCAACTTAATGGTTTAGGATACAAAAATATCACGCCACATGATCCTCATCGGCGCGGCTGTCAAATTTCTCTCGTGTTTGATGAGGATAAATTAGATAAAGTGATTAAAGGATTACTGAGCCACGGTGCAGTTGTTGACGAAAGAAGTCCTGATTGTATCAGAATTGCACCTAATCCTATGTACAATAGTTTTTCTGAAGTATTTAGGTTTGTCAAGGCTTTAAAAACTATTATGGGAGATTTGGGATTTAAATTTGAGGCTAAAAAGTAACCAAATTATGAATTTATAAATTTAAAAATGATTTTTTATGACTTTATTGTTATATTATATTTTATATTTACTATCTACAACTCACTTCCATTATTATGAATTCTTAACATAGTAAAGAAGGTTTATTACTTCTGATTAGGATTGATTTTGAATTACAAATTGTAACTTAGCAAATATTTGATCAACCTCTTTATTGGCAAATAATTATCATGTTTAAATAAAATTTCGGTTCTTAGTAAAAAAAAAAAAAAAGGTTAAGTTTGACTTTATGGTAAATTTATATACTGGTTTTGTAAAAAGAAATGTACTTAGAAAATGAACGAAATGTCAATAATTATGTTATTTAATGATAATCGTAAACACATATGTAACTTGTTTTCTTTATAAGCAAATTAAACTTGGCATTAGAGGTGGGATCCGTGGCTATATTTTGGCTAATAAACTCTTGTGAATTTTATCAACTTTATAATATATTGTCTTTATATATTTTTATAGTAGTAAGATTTATAAAATACTATGTAAAAAAGTTGCAATATTTATTAAACTATAAAGCAAAAACATGCTAATAGCAATATGCCATATAGATTTATACTATATAATAGTAATTAAAAAAATAACAAATCTGACCAATATATTTGCTAAGGTCAGATTAGAGCTTTGCAAATGCCCATGCTGGCATATTGGCATCATGCCAGGCACTAGTGCCTTATGCCATGCCCATGCCCATTGGCACAAAAATACATTGCTAAATTTTCATTATCGTAATCAAAGTGAATAACTTATACCTAGGTCGATTAAAATCGTGTGCATGTTTCTCATGAATAAAAATACCGGCAATACCACCAGGACCAGAATTCAAATATTTATATGTACACCACACTGCAAAGTCAACATTCCATTTATGAAGTCTGAGAACTACATTACCCACCGCGTGGCACAAATCAAATCCAACAATACATCCCTAAGAAAACGGAATAAATCAATTCTTTAAGATATTAAAATAGCATAATTATGTTATATATATGTATACTCCACCTTCCTCTGAGCCGCAGCAGTTATCTTTTTTAATTTAAAGAACTGACCAGAATAGTAATGAACACCACTGAAAAGAACCAAAGAGATCGAAGAGCCTTCTTTTTCAATTGTATTCAGGATATCATCCAAATTTATTGTGTATTCACCAGGAGGTGGGTTAACCGTAATCAACGCTGTGGCAGGATCATAACCGTGAAATTTAATTTGGGATTCAACCGCATACTAATTGAAATCACATGAGTAGTTCATGTTTAAGCAATAAATAATTGAAAAAAAAGTTAGTATAATTAGCACTCGTTATAGTGAATCACAGGCTGGGAAAAAAAGTCTTCACTATTAGGGATGTTAACAGTCTGATTTGGACCAGCCTGTTCTATTTTGGTCCAGTGCTGGTCCGGTTTTTGATAGTCCATAGTCTTAAAATTAACTGGTCCAAACTGGTCTGATCTTAAAAGTGAGAACAGACCAATTTTTCAGTTCCAGACCGGTCTTAAGACTAACTGTGGTCCAAACCACATAACACCTCTATTCACTATGGTTTACATCGAAAAAAATGCTATATGCACTTCACAGATATCGAATCAAAGTTTAATAATTCTGCAATGCACAGCTCTTCACTATATAAAGAGTTTACTTTAACGAGAGTGAATTGTGTATGAAATTCTACTAACCTGATCTGATGGGAAAGCCTTTGCTTCAATCAGAATCTTGTTTCTATGTTTTGTTGGGGTGAGTTGTATAGACCATTGAACTGAAAAGAAATGTCCTGTAAATTTTTTGCTTATCAAACTAATTAGAGGGTCATAGTAAATCTGCCAAAGGAGAGGTGAAATTGTTTCTTTTTGGTCAATACCATCTTTTATTCAATGCTTTACTATGATCAGTCTATAAAATAAATCAATTATTTTATGGTACATTTTATATGATAAAATTATTGATCTTATTTCATAAATTGAGATAGTAAATCATTGATAAAACCGTTATTGCATGTTCCCGTATGCAATAACTATATAGTATTTATAAAGGAGTGTAAGCCTAAAGTTGCTGATAATTTGATTAAAGCGATCAAGTAGATGTTGAAAAATAATTCTATTGGTTAATTTTTTTTTTAAAAAAAAAAAACGGTTCATGGCGCAGATAAAATTTTTTGATGTTAAGATTAGCATTTATATTGGGTTAAAAATTATAGTAAAATCGTTCAAGAAAGACTTTTTATTAAAGCACTAAAGATGATTTTTTACGCAGATCTAAATTCCATGTCTAACGAAGCGCGGTTAGATGGGTTAGATGCGTTATCGATATAAATAAAAAATTTGGCATTGATGTAATTTGGTATATAAAATTAGGAACCAAATGCTTGGATTTGGCGACCGAATTTTAACTTAATTACTCGATGCGTCCTTAATAGAATTAGTTACATAATAATAACGATAGTGACATTGCAAAATTTTTAATTGTTCGTAGTTTTGAGCGTAACACCAATGACTGCACTATCGGGAGTGTGTTTGTTATTGATGGTAAAGAGATGAAAATATTATTAATAAACCTGTAATACGATTTAAGAATATAAAACGTAACTAATTATTTAGTTTATCTTTCGAGTTACTGTATTCGAGTTTGTAATGATTCTGCTTTATATGAACGAAATTGTTTTCTACGAAAATTTTTAGTGTACTCTATTGCTATCAGATTTGAAAAGTTCATTCAATATTCAATGTAAAATTACAAGCAAAGATTAAATTTATCAGGCTCAAAGTTCATTTTCCTCCAGTGAAATCGACGAATTTTGAAAAATCAGCCATGCCGACATGTAAAACTTTTAACTCTTAATCCAAGTCTTTTTTAAACTTGAGAATAAACAATCTTTTCAACAGGTAAAATCCTTGAATTTCCAAATCTTAGTAACTACTTCTCTTTCAATGATGTGTCGATTTTGGCATCTTCAATTGCAATCTATTAAAGTTATTTCCATAAAAATAGTGTGAACAACTTTAAAAGTTTTGAGCTTTTTTTTTTAATGTGCAAACTTTTTTTGGTAAATGCTTTTTGTATTATACTAAATCCTATTTCAAATTATTTCAAATTATTTCAAATTCTTGTTTTGGTGCGTTTTCCATTTATAATAATTTCTATTCGAGAAGATAATTTTCGATTATTTAGTATAATAACATTCTTATTAAAAAAGGGGACACGAATAAAAAAATGTTTAATATTTTGATATCATTTATATAGACGTATCTTGTTCTTTGCGTATATGAATTACAAATGTCCAGATCAATCATATGTAGAGCTCGAGAATAAAGGTCTGTTTCAAAATTTTATCAAATTAATTTATTAAATTAAAAATTACCAAGATCATTTTGCTTTTTCTATTCCTTTTTTATTTTATTTATTTTTTTTGAATAGTTACGCATTTTTATTACATTGCAAAAAGAAAAAATATTCAATAATTTCTAATAAACCCAAAAAACAGTAATTCCGAAAGCCCATATTTTTTTTTTAGAAAATTTTATCATGCCACTCACACCTTTTTAATTCTCTGAAGGATTAGTTATAACAATAATAGGGACCTCCAATTTCAAGGGTGTCAACATAAATTTATCGAATCTTATTGTCATGATAATTTCATGTTTGATTTCCAAGAAAGAGACATTTGAATCAGGTTTCATCCGATGATGAATAGGGATTTCGAATGAAACAGGACCG